AGAGCAAATAGAGACTACAAGACAAACATTCACTCCTCTATTAAATCCCTACAGGCATCTGATGTGATTGAAGAATTAGAACAGAGCGTGTCTGAATTAAAACAACAGTTACAAGAATCAGAACATCAAAGGCAGCAACAGCTGAGGGTGAGCCCTGAAATTTTCACTCAAGAAAAATGAAGAGCCCTTTTTACTTGTTCTCAAGATTTGTATGAATAGAATGCCAAAAAAGATATATTTTGGAGTTCTTGGAAATCAGAGGAGCCAATCCCTCTGTACTTAACAGAGTAGAATTTGTTCTTAGTCTTTTGGCTTAGCCTTTTAAAAAACTTTGTGGCTATTTGTCTTATTTTCCTGTGTGTTGAACTGATAAAATATATATCAGTGGCTTATAGAGAATAACGGGGCTGCCGACAAAGGGCTTTGATGTCGGCAGGGGAGCGTCCAGACTAGCGCGCTGAGCGGACAAACAGCTGATCAGCTGTTTGTCAGCTCAGCGCGGCAGCCATGTAAATGAAGCTGCGATCATTTAAATTGCGGCTTCATTTGCCTTTGCCTATGTGTCTAATCTACATGCCTCTGACGACAGAGGCATGTAGTCTAGACACAGCCTTGCTGTGTAGACACTCACATAGTTATTTCAGAATTACAGCCATTATTCCGAAATAATTTAGCAGTGTAGATGCACCTTAGATGATTGTGGGAACAAGCCCCGAGACCTTTAACTGAACCTGTATCATCTGACTGGTAGTCTGGAGACACCTCAAGCTGATCAAGTGTTAGTAATAATGCAGTGTAATATTTAGAGCTAAAATAAAACATCTTAACATTGTTTATACCGTTTACTCTGGCACTCTGGTCTGGCAACCTCCATGGTACGGCATGGTGTTAGTTAGCCGGATGTCCACTTACTGTTCATGTGCCCAAGTTTCCCACAGTCCCATAAAGTTTGTTTACATTCACCAGTCCTAAGTGTTCTGAGCTGTTATTTATCTCTTAATTTACCCCCAAAAGTCTTCTAAGAGCTCAGTAAGTAGTGAAAATGTTCGTGATACTGCTAGACAATATTAACCTCCTGTGATTTGGCAAATTGTCTGTTTTGGTACTGGTCAGGTCCAGAGGGTGCCAGACTAGAGAGGTTCAACCTCTAGATTAACATTTGATTATGAGATAAAGTTGGACACTTTGGTTGCCATGGACCATACTGTGCTTTAGTATAATGTACAGGTTTTGTCTAGTTAAAGGCTGCTTTTTAATTATGCTAAACTGTTTAAAGAAGTGGTGATTCCTTTTTAAAAGTAAATTCCTTTAATTTTCAGGATCAAGAACACAAATTTCAACAGGAAAAACTTCATTTAGAGCGATTTCATGAAAAAAAGGTAGAGTTTGAAGGAAAAGGGTGAATGTTATGTGCACTTCCAGCTGTCTTAGGCAAGAACTAATTATTTAAATCCACAAAAAAGTGCTTAATGGACAGAAAAAGGGTATGAAACTGATGAAACCTAAAGGTGTGTCTAGTACTAAGCCACTTTTAAACAAGGATAAAGCTGTTAATTTTTTCCAGAAGTGTAATGTCTATGGCTCAAAACATATTGATGCCTACCATTTAATTCACTTATGCTATGGCTACACTGTAGCCTTCTTCCAGAAAAGTTTATGCAAATGAAGCATGGCGTGGAATATCACTGTGCTTCTTTTGTATAATTATTTAGCACCCACTTTTGTGCAAGAGGCTTTTGCACAAAAAGGAGCTGTGTAGATGGCTCCTTTTTGCGCAAAACCCCCCTCTTGCGCAAGAGCCGTTCTTCCTCATTAAGGGATGGGATGCTCAGAGGTGGGGCAGTCCTGGACTGGTGGGGGAAACAGAGCATACTACCAGCAAGCCCCTTTCACCTGCCGGTGATTATCTTTTTTCTGTATGGTTTTATGAGAAGCAGTCCCATTTTGGGCACATCCCATTTTGTAGCACAGCCGAACCCTTACCTTGCTTTAAGTTAAGAGGAAGCTGGATACCAAATTCAGTGGTCTTAGTTCTCACCATTTAGGAGCAGTTTTTGAACAAACACATACACACTCATTGACAGACAAACTCTCTCAGGTATATAGTAGATTACCTACACAATTTGTATTTCTTTAAGAACAATTCAAGTCTAAACTGATGCAGAGCCAGGTCCTGTGCACTCATATACATACGCATGTTAATATTTTTTACTGTCTATTCAGTTTTCTTTTGTCTTTCTATATCTGTGGTATCTCTTGAGAGCCTCAGGTTAATAACTATTGTCAATCCATCCCCTAGGGCAGTGTTTCCCAATTTTATTTGGCCATGGAACCCTTTTCAGCTTTTCAGAATTTCAAGGAACCCCTAGGTTTGTCAAAAAAAAAAAAAAAAAAGGGGGGGGGGGGGAATCATGAGAATCACGTTCCTTCACCAAGACCCCTGCCTTGAGGCCTCATTCTCTCTGTTCCCCTCCTCTCCATCACTTGCTATCCCCAGCCCTTATATACTCTCACTAGGTTGAGACAGGAAGTGCGGGCTCTGGGGTGGGAATGAGAGATTTGGGTGTGGGAAGGGGTGAGAATTATAAGCTCTGGGAGGGAATTTGGATGCAGGAGAAGGGGATGTTGGCTTGGGGAGGAGGCTCCAGGCTGGGGAGTGTTGGGGCTCAGGTGGAAAGTTGGGGTGCTGAGCAAGCCATGGGCTTGTGGATGTGAGGATGCAGGAGTTTGGGCTGGATATGTGAGGGGCTCAGAGCAAGCACGCTGGGAGTATGATGGGCTCAGGACACAGATTTGTGATGTGTGGATGGTGCAGGAGTGTTGTGGCAGAAGACTGAGGATGTGGGGGTGCAGGAGTTTGGGGATGTAAGAGTCTCAGGACAGGGGGGTTCCAGTGTATGATAGGCTCAGATTTGGGGTCAGGTGGTGCAGGAGTGTTATGATGCTGCAGTGAGATGGGGGTTTGGCCCCAATTGGGGGCTTGTTGGCCAGGCTTCATTTTTAAATAAAATATTATGTTAAACTCCAAAGGTTTTAGCATTGTCTTTATTTATGAGAGGGGTGAGGAACCAGAAAAGTCAGTTCCAAAAACCTCCAAGCCTCACTAATGTGGTCCAAACTGTGCTGGTGGGGGCAGGGAACAGAGTGATAGTGGGTGCTGGGGCTGGGGAGAGGGTGCTGCTGGGTGTCAGGATGCTGGCTCAGGTGGCGGAGTACTGGGGCAGGATGCTGGGGCAGGTGGCAGGATACTGGGGTCAGGGACATGGTCCTGCTGGGCACTGGGGTGGCTGGCAGGGTGCTAGGATAAGGAACAGGGTGCTGCTGAGTTCTACAGCAGATGGCAGGATGCTGTGGCCAGGGCCAGGGTGGTGCTGGGTCCTGGGGTGGGTGGCAGGGTGCTGGGGCCAGAGACAGGGTGGTGCTAGGGTGGATGGCAGGGTGCTGGGGCCAGGGTGGTGCTGGGTCCTGGCGTGGGTGGCAGGGTTCTGGGGACAGGGACAGGGTGCTGGGGACAGTGCTGGTGAGGACAGGGTACTCATGGAGGGGACTAGCCCCCTATGCTCCCCTAGTTCCGAAACTCACCACCTCCGTGCCTTAACTCCAGGCATTGGAATAATGCTGGTGTTTCCTCCCCCGCTCCAATTCTGTTCCCATTCTCCTGTCCCCCTTGCTACCTTTTCCGCCCTGTCTCTTGAAGCTGCAGTCATTTTGAATTCCCTGCTCTGGCTCCCCCATGCTAACCCCTCCCCTTGATGTCACCCATCCTTCCCCCTCCCACACTGGACACACGGCCCGGCGGTCAGCTGACATCTCCCAGCTCAGCGTTCCCTTGGTGGCAGTACAGCCCCTCTGTGCTGCCGCACAAGAACAGGTGGCACAGACAGGTGTCCACTCCTTGCGTGCCCCGTAAAGTGCAGGGATCGGTGAGGTCTCTCCCCCGGGATAGGTCCATCCTGTCACACCAGCTCTCTCTCTTTCAGAGGGGTCAGGGAGTGCTGGCTCCTCGTGGAACCCCTACTTTTGCTTCGCGGAACCCCAGGGTTCCATGGAGCACCAATTGAGAAACAATGCCCTAGGGAATGTGCCTTTTGACTCCTGAAATACATAAGATAAAGCTTATTTCAGGATAGATTATATAACTGTATGATGGGAAAAAACTTGTTTTCATAGAGAGCAATACAGGTGTCCACATGTTCATAAGCATTGATGTAACTGTGTACTGTGAAAATCTTTGACATGAGACAAAACTAATAAATTTACCATATTATTTACATAGGCCCATAAAATAGAGGACAGATTTGTCTATAGGGGTGTGTCTAGACTACATGCCTCCGTCGACGGAGGCATGTAGATTAGCCAGATCGGCAGAGGGAAATGAAGCCGCAGTTAAAATAATCGCGGCTTCATTTAAATTTAAAGGGCTGCCCCGCTCTACCGATCAGCTGTTTGTCGGCAGATCGGGGCAGTCTGGACGCGCTGCTGTCGACAAGGAAGGCTTTGTCGATCGGCGCAGGTAAACCTGGTTTTATGAGGCATACCTGCGCCGATCGACAAAGGCTTCCTTGTCGACAGCGGCGCGTCCAGACTGCCCTGATCTGCTGACAAACAGCTGATCGGCAGAGTGGGGCAGCCATTTAAATTTAAATGAAGCCAAGATTATTTAAATCGCTGCTTCATTTCCCTCTGCCGATCTGTTTAATCTACATGTCTCCATCGACGGAGGCATGTAGTCTAGACACACACTAAAATACTCAAAACAGTAGCCTGTTTTTGAGTAAAAGAAGCATGCATTATCAGGTATAATCTGTTCGCTTAAATATTTACTAATTTCTAATAACCTTTATTGGTCTATGATGACTAGTCTCTGTTAAGATCCTTGAACAACAAACGAATAATAGGTAATCACCCTAAATGTCACTGTTTGATTAAACATGGTAATCTCCTAAATCAGGAACCAGTTAGGCAAAGTGATTTTACAAGTAAAGGAAGCACCTGCTTCTTCACCCAGTAGTGTCCCCGTGGGTGCTCTACTCGAGGTGCTGGGCTCGTCCCGGTGCTGCAAACCGGAGGATTTTTCATTAGCAGTAGCCCCCTACCGGACTGCGCATGCGCGACGGCCCCTTCGCGCCTTTCATCTGAGCTCAGTCCGGTCTTGTCAGTTTCTCTCCAACCGTCCGCAGCTGTAGACTGAGTTAGATTGGGCTCCCTTCCCGTCTCTGAGGAGAAAGAGAAAGTCTCTTAGAGTTAGTTTTCTTGTTTAGTCATAGATAGTTATCAGTTATAGTGTTAGTAGTTGTAGTCCCCCTCTTTTTTTCCCTGTTTTTATAAAAAAAAAAAAGTTTTTCTTCAGCAGTCAGTCAGTGTCTTCCTGACTGAAATTGACGAAGTAAATAACAGAAAAAGACTCAAGGATGCCAGGATCACCTGGCTTCAAGAAGTGCCTTCAGTGCCAGGAGGCTATCCCTGTCTCCGATGGACACTCCCTGTGTGTCCGGTGTCTTGGGGACGCTCATGTCCCAGCAAAGTGCAGCCATTGCACGAAGCTGACAGCTCGCGCCAGAAGAGATCGGGAGCTGAGACTGAGGGACTTTTTATTTAATAAGGCTCTCCAAGCTCCAGAAGACTCCGAGCTGCGCTCTGCTCCCAAAGATCAAGCTGGGCAAGAGATCTCCCGCAGGATCCATAAGACGCCAGGTGGCAGTTCGGACAAACCGGGGAGCTCTGGCTGTGCGCCGAGACTCCCCGTGGACAAGTCAGGCAAGGGCCGTAGCTCCTCTGCCCCAAGTGCAACCCGCCACAAAAGCTCCACTCCAGTACCCGCAAAGGCTTTGCGAGCGGAGTCGGTGCCAGCAATGGCTTCAACACCCATGGCGGAGCCGGCAAGAGAAGCCCCGGCACCGGGAGTTCCTGCGCATGCGCGCCTGCAACCAGCTGTGTCGGCACCCGCAGCGCCTTCTCTGAGTGCCGTTCCGTGTTTCTCAGTACCAGGCACATCGGCACCGGATGCGGCACCGCAGCAGGAGTCTCTGCCACCCCAGCCCCCAGCTTTCACGTCATCCCTGGCTGATCCAATGGCACCGAGACCTTGCTCTGCTGACGATCAAGTGATAGAGGCTCCATTGTTGCCTGCTGTTCTGCCACAGGCACCTCCTCAGCCTGCCTTCAATTCCTCAGTGCCAACTAAAGCGCAGCAAAAATCTGCAAGGGTCCGGACACCATCCCTGACACCGGACCGTGTCATCTTCTCCCCTGGGCCGGATTCACCTACCTCATCCCATGCTGGTTACCATCGTCATGTTCACCGTTACACAGCCCCCAGGGAACTCTACTATAGGTCACCTCGTCGTTCGCCACCACGTCGATACTATTGGGATCACTA